TAGTACATGTTGTTACTGATAATGCAAATGCATACAAAACTGCAGGGAGAATGTTAATGGAGAAGAGGCCTCACCTTTACTGGACTCCTTGTGCTGCACATTGTATTGACTTGATGCTTGAGAGGTTGAGACAGTTGCCTCAACATAAATCAGCCATATTGAAGGCCAAATTCGTTAGTAAATTTATATACAATCATTCTTGGGTACTCAGCTTGATGAGAAAATTCACTGACAAGGAAATTATTAGACATGCTGTTACAAGATTTGCTACTGCATATTTAACATTGCAGAGATTCAAAGAGTTAAGACAACCTTTGGAAGCAATGTTTGCTTCTGAAGAGTGGGATAAAAGTTCATGGGCCAAAAAACAAGAAGGAAAATAAGTTAAAAAGATTGTTATGAAAGACGATTTATTTTGGCGCAGTACAAATTATGCTTTGAAGACAACATGACCATTAGTAAAGGTGCTTAGAATAGTTGATGGTGAGAGGGCCCCGACTATGAGATTTATTTATGAAGCAATGAATAGGGCCAAAGAAGACATTACAAAAGAATTTGGAGGTCAAGAAAGTGCCTACAAAGAAATATGAGATATTATAGATGAAAAGTGGGATCGACAATTACACCAACACTTACATGCTGCTGCGTACTATTTAAATCCCCAATTTCATTTTGATAAGGATTTTCATGTTGACAAAGAGGTGAAAAATGGTTTGTATGCATGTATGGACATATTCATTTTTGAAGAAGACTACCTCAAAGTGAATGATCAACTTGAGGATTTTCATTTGAAGAAGGGAATGTTTTGATTTAGAGTAGCACAAGCATGCTACAAAACATGATCTCTTAGTATGTTTATAATTTGAGTATTTATAATTTTAATGATAATATTTATATTCAAGTCTTCTACTTCAATCAATATTCATAAAATACTATGTTTGTCTTCATGTAGAATATTGGTGGGCTCAGTTTGGAGATGATGTTCCTGAATTGAAAGCTTTTGCAGTTAAAGTTCTTAGTCTAACGTGTTCGGCTTCTGCATGCGAGCGTAATTGAAGTATCTTCAATTAAATTCATACAAAGAGAAGAAATCGATTGGCGACGGATCGAATGAACAAACTAGTTTATGTTATGTTTAACAAAAAAACTGAAAGATTGACATCTCAAATTGCAAAATCAAAGAAATATTGAGAATGAAATTGACCATTTGTTTGTTGATGAGTTACAATCTGACGATGAATGTGTTACTCCTAAGAATACTGATGTATCTGAAGATGAAGCAGAAGTAGAAGTCATGTCAATGAAGAAGACAATGAAGCAACTACCCAAGTATATAAAAGAAAGAAACAAAGTGAAATTGGAGCTTCAATGACATGTTTATAGTTTGAGTATTTATAATTTTAATGTTAATATTTATATTCAAGTCTTTTACTTCTACAAATATTCATAAAATACTATGTTTGTCTTCATGTAGAACGTTGGTGGGCTCAGTTTGGAGATGATGTTTCTGAATTGAAAGCTTTTGCAGTTAAAGTTCTTAGCCTAACGTGTTCAGCTTCTACATGCGAGCGTAATTAGAGTATCTTTAATTAAATTCATACAAAGAGAAGAAATCGATTGGCGGCAGATCGAATGAACAAACTAATTTATGTTATGTTTAACAAAAAACTGAAAGATTGACATCTCAAATTGCAAAATCAAGGAAATATTGAGAATGAAATTGACCATTTGCTTGTTGATGAGTTATAATCTGATGATGAATGGGTTACTCCTAAAAATGCTGATGTATCTGAAGTTAAAGTTGAAGGAGAAGTCATGCAATGAAGAAGACAATGAAGCAACTATCCAAGTATATAAAAGAAAGAAACAAAGTGAGATTGAAGATTCAAAAAAATTTAAAAGTATTCTTAAATATAATGAATTATTTTGTATGTTGTTATTGTTTTATTTTAGAGTTAATGAAATATTAACTGATATAGGAGATAAATGAAAAAATATTATAGATGAAGAAGAGTTGGAGGATGACTTTGACATTAATTATGAAGATTCTTCTGAAGACAATCAAAGTGATAATGAGCCTGCTTTGGGTCTTGATCCTAAGGGGATGTTTTATTTTTAAATGAGTTTATTTTAAATCTTGTATTCCAGTAATATTATCTTAAAACAAATCTTTAAATTCATAGTTTACATAATATTTTGTTATTTTTTATCATTATTTATAATTTTAAATTAATTTATTTTAATCGTTTTGAGACTTACGCCTCGCCTCACTTAGAAAAAACGTCTCGATTCCCGATTTTGCCTTTTAAAACCTTGATAGAAAGATAATATGTCATCTTTTAACACATTATTTGAGTATTATATAAAAAATTACTTTTAACATTTATTTGTACTTTACGCAATTTGTTATTTTGAGGCTCACGCCTTAAAATGCCTTGAGGCTTACGCCTTGCCTCATGAACAAAAAATGCCTCAATACCTAATTGCGCAATTTTACGCATTGATCTGAGAGATGATTATATTTGTACTAGAGCGATGTCAAAATATTTTAATTGGTGATTTCTATCATTATTTTTAATAAATAATTTAATTATTGATTTATTTGCGTGATTGAAATTTAGGCTTCATTTGGGACAGCTTTTTTCTGCTTTCTAAAATAGCTTTTAAGTACAAAAAATTTTTGAACTTGAAATTTTTATACTAAAAAGTCATTTTTTAAAGCAGTAAGAAAGCTGTCCCAAATGAAACCTTAGTCAAATTTGATGCACATCATTTTTCATTTTGGCAAGTGAAGCTTAATCCCTGCGGAATTGTATATTCATTCTCAAAAGTTTGGCGAATTTCATATTTTGAAAACTTCTAAGTTATCATTCAGAATGAATGAAATGGGTTCTGATTTTGCGTAAAAAGACCAATATTTGCTTAAATTAATAGTTGAGAAATGTGACTGTGATCTTTTACACGTTTCTTTGCATATTTCATCCTAAGTTTGTATTAATGGCTCATGCAGACCTTTCAATCTGTTTATGTTGACTTATTTCCATTTGTTAACATTTTCAAATGTTCTTATGCAGGCTTATATCTATTTGTTTTTCAAACAGAAATTAAATTTTACTTTGATTGGACTAACAACTATTGAAGATGATGCAATTGAAAATAAATTTTGGTAGTTTGGACATGCATAATGAAGATTAGAAAACGCGTCCGTTTAATTGATAAAATTAGTGAAGGTTTATGAAGGAAAATGGGCTGATCTAAGATTACTTGGATAAAAGTTGTTCAAAATGATTTGTGAGTAAGAAATAAGTTTAACACCTTTGATAACACTCAATAAAAATGAATAAGAAATAGGGATTGATAATCCCAATCCCAAATATTTGGGATACAATTATACAAATAATGATGATGACTACTATATATTAGCATAAATAACCTTTATGACCATACATATTTGTTGCTGTGGAAAAAAAATTCTGTAGTATTCATCATCTTTCATCCCGATTTTCAGTGTGCTTGTACAAATCTGTAAAATGAAATAGCAGTACAGGTTGGTTCATTTGTTTCTCTATTCCTTTTCCATTTAGTTTACAGTTTCCCCTTTTCCATTTAGCTTACAATTTCCCCGTAAATTACTCATTTGTACCTGTTATTTCAAATAAATGTTTCTGGTTTGTGCAAATCAATGTTTCAATGTTTTTGGTTTGCTCCATACTTGAAGAGATTTCTTTGGAACAGTCTTGCAGAAAAGTTTCCTTATTTGGTTAAGAAAAATTTCAAAGAAGGAGAAGAAGTAAGACGTGTTGCTCAGCTTGATTGGAGGATAATTGAATCTGATTGTGCGAAACCATTTATATCATCTGGCCTAGAGTTTGTTCCTTTACCAGTTATTCACCTGCTTCCTAAGCTTGTACCTCCCTTTTGTAGTTTTTTATCCGTGATCTTCTTTCTCATTATATGTTTCTAAATGTAGGTGATGCATGGTGAGGATTATGTTTGTTTAGGCTTCCTCTTTGGAAAACAGTCAAGAATTGCGTATATTTCAGATGTTTCACGCTTCCCTGCTACTACCGAGCATCGTATGTCATCTGTTTTTGTTCTATTGTACAGAAACTGAATTATATCATTTTATTTTTAATAATTGGTTTGTTAGAAGCTTATTGCCTAAAAAAGCAAAATATTTCACTTTTTTATTAGAGAGTATTTACTCATCAGTTCAGTTAATTGTACAGATGATTACTTTTTTTTTTTTAATGTGAATCAAACCATTGATACAGAGACATCAATAATTAGCCCATTAGTTGGTCGGTTTGGCTGGAATGTTACTTCCATCTGCCGTATAGCTAGGTATATTTATTTAGATAGAAGATGGAGATATGTAAAATCTGCTTCCTTTTCTCCTGGACGTAGTCTTAAGAATACGCTTAGCAATATCAACAATATTGTCATTTCCATTTTGTACTGCGTAGCTTTCACTTATGCCAAAAAAGATTTACTGTTACACCATTTCTACTACTTGACTGGATTTTTTTACAAATTTTTGTAGTTATTTCAAAGGCTGGAGGAGGGCAACTTGATCTTCTCATTTTAGACACCTTGTACAAGGTCTGAAATTAAATATTTGGTTATAATATGACAGTTTCCTACGTAATTATTCTGTTTGGCTTGGTACATTTTCTCAAGATTTATTTCTCACCCCCACTTTGGATACAATAATTCTGCACTATGAAGCACAGAAACCAACAAGAGGCATGGACATCACATGGCATGGGTAAGAAGAACACGACACACCAGGAAATAGTGCTAAGAGATATCATTAGATAAAAACTTAGAAGGTTAGTGCCCTCAAGAAGATCTGTAACATATTTCCTCTGAGAGAGATATGCCCTTATTTTGTTGAAGTCAAATTCAACTTCATAAGTTATTATCAGGTTTGCAACCTAGAAGGCTGGTCTCCTCAAGAAGATATTTAATGTATTTTCTCTGAGAGATTGATACCCATATTTGTTGTTGGAAAATTCAACTTAAAGTAAATATTTTGGGTTCCCTAAATCTAGAGTGATATCTTTTTCAAATGCTTTTGCAAATGCTTTTACAAATGATATTTTACCATAGAGACGTCTTTTTATCACTTCTAGTAAGGAAAAGTTGTTATCAACATAAATAACTAGCACTATCGAGCCTGGAGTGTGTCTGATAAAGATGGAATGATCTGTTGTGCTACTAAACGCCTAAGCAACATACCCGGATTATTGATTTATATTAGATTTTCATGAAGGAAGGAATTAATTGCATCCATTTGCAGCATAAATAATCCTTGTTTTATGGCCATAGATAGAAGTATTCAGACAAAGTTAAGCCTAATATTCTATCTTATAGACTTATGGAAACCCTTTGGATACTAGCCGATCTTTGCACCAATCTTTTGAGCCATTAGCATAAAATTGGTCTGTGACACATACATAGACCGCTTATCTGAGCATTCATTGCCTCAATTGGAGATTTGTTGATAATTTTACATGTGTGTTTGAAGCAGTACAATTGATAGGAATAAGGCGAATATATTAAAAGAAGTAAAAGTTCAAAATAGTCTCCCGATTATCAATAAATTTCCAATTTAGTCATAGAGTTTTGCATTGCCCATTATAGTCCCTCGACTATTAGAAATTGAGTCAATTTGATTTCTGGCCATTTAAATTAGAGGAGACAGCTAGAGAGATTCGTTTCTTTGGGGGTATTTAGGTAAAATACCTACTCACGCTTCCCGCTATAAGCCCTCGACGTGTCCCCCTATACGCCCTGGAGACGTCTATGCGAGGTGAAACTGCGTATAAGGAGAAGCGAGCGAGACTCATTAGAGGGATACAAGGCCTTGCTTTGATAACGCATTAGAGGTGAAGGGTCTTTGATGGACTGGTCCATCCTGAACTGGTCAAGCCTGTCCCTCTTGGACTGGCTTGCATGTACAATAGGCGAAAGTCACGTCTGCGTTAATCCTATCCCCTTTGGGGTGGGACCTAGGCAGATATTTCAAAGGGGAGAAGGGGGGAGGTTCCGAGGGAAAATTCAAATGAAGGGGTTGTTTTGGTATTTGCATTAATTTGTATGCTTTAAGTAATTGCTTAACCTAGGGTTAGGGTTATGTTTGATTTTACTGAATTTTAGTTTCCTAAAGGTAGAGAGGGCTCTAGTTGGTGGCCAGGGTTTGGGAGAGCGGATTTTCCTCTCCAATTGAATATCTTATTTTTCTTTCATAGCTACATCAATCAAAGGGGGTTCGTACAAGTTATTCTCCATATTTTGTCTTGTTATTTGCTTGGTGGTTTTGCTGAAATTCAATTTCAGCCAACGATTAATTATTTTCTACAAGCACTCCCTATCAGTTTTATGCCTGCATTATTCTCTTGAATACACTCTTTTTATAATAGAAGAATGCGTGCAATATTTTGAAGAACATCCAACTAAAAATACAGTATTTATCAAATATGGAGAACCTTCCTTATTTGATATTTTTTGTCCTAACAAGATGGGAGAGAGAAAGGAGAACACTAAAAATTCAAGGCAGAGAATATGCACTGTGATACTGAGAGCTATATAGAAAGTCAAATCTGTTGTGGGCTAGGGACCAAGGCAAAGTCAATGTGTGTCCTAGAAATATCAGGAGTGCGTTTGGAGCATTGCCTACCTGATTTTATCAGGCAAAGTTGTACACAAATTTTGGTTTATTTGGCATGTTTTGAGTGTACTTGAGGAATGCCCTTGTCCGACTTGTATAGTGCAGGTTCTTTTCTCCTATATATTCAAGATAGTTTAGTTAATCCCAAATACTATGTATTTGATGCGCTGGTTCAGGCAGAACCGGCCCAGCCTGCTCTGCAGGTGTACAGGAGGCAGAAATAGTCCGCCTCCTCTATGTGTTTCCGCCCAATGGGTCGGTCCCACCCATCCAATTGAATTCAAAATGAATAGGAGGGGGGCAGCTAGAGCTTTGGGAGGGAAATTAGATTAGGAAAGCTTTTGTGTTAAAGTGCATGAGAGGATTAAGAGGGATTATATTTTGATTGTTTGAAATTAGGGTTTCTTGGCGGCTCTAGACTCTCTTGTCTAGAGATTTGGGAGAGACGATTCTCCTCTCGAGTTGAGGATCTCTTTTATATTTGCTTTGTGCTTGTCTCTTTTTGTTGATTGTAAGATTTGCTATCATTTGGTTGTTTTCCACCACGATTCCTCTATCTTCTCGCTGTTTTCTACCGATTATTGCTAGGTTTGATTGCGAACTCAAGTAAATTCGATAGGATTACTTGCAAACTCAAGTATTTCCTATCAGTATTATGTATAAAAAACCTATCCATGGAACCATATTCTGCACAATAATACCATCAGGCCCGACAAAATGCTCAAGTATACTTGCTTGCATCCAGACACAGAACACAACATTGGAGGAACATTCTTGCGATTACTCTAGAATTCCTGTTTGTTTGATTTCCTTTAAGAGTATTATGTTTTTTATCTTTTAAAAGCCATGTAGAACAATTTGGGTTCCTGATAACATTGTCTAAAATCTTCTGCTCTGCTGTGCATGTTTCTATCCAAGATTGCGCTTGATAAATGTGATTTAATGTTTTAATAAACTCTTGGTTGATTTGCATGTAAGTAACAATACAGACATAACTTGATAGTTCCAGAATGCCACGTGCAAACTTGAACGTGTAATATTTCATTTGTTAGCTTGTGCATCAATTTTATTAGTTACTAAGTTTTGTTGGGAGCGCTTAATTAATTTGTAGATACGGTTCTACACATATTGGTAACCTATAATTCAGATTTTTTCTAGCGCTGCAATGTTCTTACTAGATATCTGCTTGCTGGTACGAGTGCTTGGTATGGCTTGCTTTCATTTATTCTATGTTTTCTAACAAATCTCTTATTTGAGCAGAAAGGTTCCCACAACACCCACTTTTGCTTGCAGCAGGTTTGTTCTTTTTATTTATACTCTAAATCTCAAAATCCCTTCCATAATTTTAGTACATTTCGTTATGTGTTCTACTGACTACCATCATTTTACAGAGTCTTGATGCTGTTAATAGAATTAGGCCGAAGCAGGCTTTGTTCATTGGGATGACGCATGATTTTGATCACCACAAGGATAACAAGGCATTGGCAGAATGGTCCAACAGGTGGTAGTTAATTTCCTTTAATGAGAATCAAATTTAATGCATGAACTTTACTAAAACCAATTCATATTTATTCTGGTTTTTTTTCCTTGTGTTTTCAAAAACCTGATGTTATTTTTTATTTCCCACTCACTCTTAAGGTTGATCAACAAGTCAAAAAACCTTAACAAACACTTGAATGGACTTATTTCCTTTAACGCTTTATCCGAGAGGACAAGAATTGCATTCGTTTCCTGGCAAGCACTAATGCAACCAAGTAGCTACTTAACAACATCCCTAATTTAAACATTGCATCAAGATTGATGGCTTGATCAATTGATTTTCTAATGTTATGTCAGTTGCCCATTACTTTCAAATGCCAAAATTTCTGTTCTTGAAAATATATGAAGTCTTTAAAAGAATTTGTGGCGCAAAATTATAATTTCAAAAACATTACAAGGCACCGCCACTTTCTAGGCATTAACGTGACCATCCTCTCGGGGTTGTGAACTAAAAGAAATTCTCTAAAACTATAATGTTGCTCTTTATTGATGTTTGTGCATCAATTAGGGCAAAATTATTGAAAATTTTGGATTCAAATGTTCTCAAATATCTCAAAAAATTACATCTAGGCGCCTCGTTACAACATGAAAGTATGTTAGATAAAGAGGTGATGCATATGTAATTATTACACCATAACCCCTAACATTATATAACACAACCTAAGGTGGTGAGAAGAAAGATCTAGTTTGTAATCAGTTCGGATGGACTGGTATATTGTTACAACGATGGCTTTTATTTTTTCGCTAATCAGTTCGATTTTTTATAATCTCCCCATCTCTATTTACCTCCTTTGCTGGTTGCGTCTAGTGCAAATGTCATGTGACCGGCCGACTTATTTGAACCAAAATAATTCCCTACTTTTAATCTAATGATGTTTCTTTTTAGATTTACAATTCCTTTAATAAGTCGACCAGTCTGTGGAGACACCTTCATTCCGGGCCTTATTATTATTTTTGAACCAGCTAAATCTAGTTAGTTAGGACATTGTCATGTGATTTTCCTTTAATTAAATTAAATTTTTTTATGCATCTAAGTTTCAGAACTTGACAATTTTCCATGCTTCTGCTACCTGCAACTATGAATTGCCTTTTTGTGCTGTAGACTAATTTTCTATTACGTTATTCTAAATTTCATTAGAAGTCAGAAACGGTTTTTTGAACCACAAGAATAATTTTGGTTCTTAATTGCTTCTATCTATTACTATGAAGTATGAAATGTAATTATAAATCTCCATCGTCAAATTTCTTGAATGCTGGAGAGAAGCTTATTTAATCCTTGTCTGGTCCAGAGAAGGTATTCCGGTACAACTTGCTCATGATGGAATGAGAATCTTCTGTGACTTGTAATTAGGTATGTTACTTGTTTATTGTTCTTTACTTTGAGAGTTTGATGACTTTGGTCTACTTTGAAATATTTTTCATGGAGAAATTTTTTTCTTTTTTATATGGGTAACGTCATTAAGGTTTACTAGTACCAATCATATGCATCAATTTGTCTTACGCGTTTGGGCTCATTTTTTAAATATCGTAGGAATTGGTCAAAATATTTGTTTTTTCATGGAGAGAAGCCAATTGATCTTAAAAGAAGGCTAGAAGAACTTATTTTGTGAAGTCATTTGAGGATTGTCTCCTCGGATGACGTTGTGTCGTCTATTAACACTCCATAGATTTTATCATTACTACTATACTTTGAAAATCTGAATTTGACCAGGCCAATATCTTCTTCTTGTTTGCCTTGTTGTCCTCTAAATTTAGTTCCAGAAGGCTAGAAGATGTCGAAGACAGAATTGATAAACCCAAAAATGTTATTTTACTCCAGGAGAACATTGATAAATTGTAGTTTTTGATAAGTAAGCGAGACTTTCTTCGAAATTTTTTTTCCCGTCTCTTCCTCCATCCAAACTTAATGTAGAGTAGGTTCAGTAGAGAAAAACATTAGTACATAAGATGATGGTGCCTCTTTCAGGAGATTATTACGTGCGAACGTTTGATGTAGAGTTACGTTCGGACTCTAATAAAAATATGACGTATGAGCTAGTGTATTGTTAGGTATTACTGTGTATTTATGTGTATTAACTAGTACATGTTAATATAAATCAACACAACTAATAAACACCAATATACAATAATACTCAACAATACAGTAGTCCAAGTGTCATATTTTTATTGAGTCTTGATATAGCTCTACATTAGATGTCCACACATAATAATTTCTCCTCTTTCAGACCATCATGCCCAGAGACATGTAGACTATGGACCTTGATTAAGGTCACAATTTTTTTCAAGATGGTGATTGTGCAAGTATTGGCGCTAGGGCTGTCAAAATCGGGTCACGGGTCAGGTTCGGGTTCAACCCGAAATTGACCCGACACTGTTCAACCCGACCTGTTTTTTTGCAAACGGGTCAGTTTTTCAAACCCAAACCCGACCCGCTTCGGGTGTATTTCATTAAATATTTTTTATTTAATTCAATTTATTTAAATTTAAATCAAATTAAGATAAGATTTACTTCAATTAGTTTAAAATAAATCAAAATTAATTTAATTTGGATAACATTGTTTATAATAATTTGAAATATCATTTACTTATTTCATAAAAATCCTTTAAAACTCTCTTAAATTAATTAAAAACGGGTCAAATCGGGTTGATTTCGGATTTCCAGGTCAACCCGAACCCGACCCGGTTTTACAAACGGGTCGAAATCTCTAACCCGAACTCGACCCGGTTCGGATTCGGGTCAATTTTTTGGATCGGACTTTCGAGTCGGGTCAAATGTTGACAACTCTAATTGGCGCCATCATTGATCTTTTTTTACTAGTGATTTTGTGGAATTTCCTATGTGGAGTTGCACTTACTATGGGAACATCTCAGGCTGCCAAAAGTGCTCCTTAAGAGGTTGACTATATGGTTCAGAGACATCTACTCATGGCTTTCTGATGTGATATAAGGTGATGTTACATGACGAATTTTTAAAAAGTAACATACGAAAAATACAGATTATAAGAAGCGTTATTGAAAAGAAATTTAAATTGGAGCGAAATTGTTAAACTGAATGGCAGTCTACATTTGTAAGGAAAGTGTAACAAATTTTGACTATTTCTACACAAAACAGTAAAATTCGCCAAAAAATTTGGGTCTTCCGCTCAACTTCGCGGGGGGGAGAGAGAAAGGAGGGAAGAGAGAGATACGTAACATAAATTTTAATTTAATATAAATATAATCAAAGTCATAATTTAATTTATAATTTATAATAAATTTTAATATAAATTTAATTAACTTTAATTTATTAACATGATAAATATTATAAATTTATATTTCATTTGACTTAAAATAAATATAATAGTTATAATTATTTATTTTTACTAAAATTTGTAGTTATAAAAATTTAAATTAAAATAAATTCATATTAAAGTTAATTAAAATTTATGTTATGTTCCTCTCTTTTCTCCTCTCTCCCTCCCGAATTTTTATTAGGTCCAGTGTCCTAACGTAGCTTTACATTCGAATGCCAGTAAAATGGTGCAACATGCTCTTATTCTTTACCGCGCGGCCCGACGACTCGTATCAGACCGGACCTGGGATTGCTATGTATTGGTTGATTTGTGCATATCAGAGTATTGCTTGATATTGCTCGGCAATAACGAGAAATATTATTCTGTCAAGAGCAATACCAAAGTAGTATTGCTCAGTATTGTTAGGTATTGTTCGGTATTGCTAGATATTGGTCTTGATAGAGATGTATTTCTCATTATTGTCAAGCAATACCGAGTAATGCCGAACAAGACCTATCAATACCCGAATATAGCAAAATCGGGTTCCGGTCTGAGTCGGATTGTCGGACCGCGTGGTAAAGAGTAAGAGCACGTGACGATATGTTATTGGCTTCCGAATATAGAGCTACGTCCGGCGTCCGGACCTAATAATTGTTCCTCCCTCCCGGCCTCTCTTCCTCTTCCTCTCTATCCATCTGGTGTTTCTCTCTGCTCCACCTCTCTCTCTTGTCAGCTAAATTTTTTCTAATAAAATATATTAGGTTTCTTTTGAAGTACCAGTTTTTTTAGCACAAAATTTTTTTAAAAGTATTAAATAATAATTATCAAATGAAAATTAGAATTATGATTAAAAAATAAAGCATGAAAAAAGATGTCCAAGCGAAACTTTAGTCTAATAATTTTTTTAAAAAATTGTTGCTGTTATTTATTATGCAGGGAATGCTAAGTACCACTCTTTCTATGTATCTAATTTGCTGTGGACATATGATTTATTATTCACTAGGCTTTTTTTTTTTAATATTAATTGCTGGCATTATAACTGTTGCGGGCTAGAATATATGCGGCGATAGAGTTATTATTTTACGTCTTAGTGTTGTACTGATAGTTAGCTCACACACAGAGAATACAAGATTTTTTACGTGGAAAACCCTTGAAAATAGGAAAAACCACGGGGCCTAGCCCAGTTGAAAATAATTCCACTACAATTTGAGTCGGTTACAAAGGGCTGACCCGCCTCCAAGGGTGACCAGATTACAATTAGAAATTGTTTGATAGAAGTCTGGCGTTAAACCCGGTGTCACTTGATAGTACCCTGGCGTCACCTGGAAGTTCGGGTGTTAGTTGGTAGTCTGATCTTGAGCAGAACGTCGGGCCTTGAGCAGAACGTTGGGCCTGAACGTCGAGCCTGAACGCCGAGCCTTGAGCAGAACGTTGAGCCTTCAGCAGAATGTCGGGCCTTGAGCAGAACGTTGGGCCTTCAGCAGAACGTCGGGCATTGAGCAAAACGTTGGGCCTTCTGCAGAACGTCAGAACTTGAGCAGAATATTGGGCCTTCTGCAGAACGTCGGGACTTGAGCAGAACGTTGGGCCTTCAGCAGAACGTCGAGCCTGAACGCCGAGCCTTGAGCAGAACGTTGAGCCTTCAGCAGAATGTCGGGCCTTGAGCAGAACGTTGGGCCTTCAGCAGAACGTCGGGCATTGAGCAAAACGTTGGGCCTTCTGCAGAACGTCAGAACTTGAGCAGAATATTGGGCCTTCTGCAGAACGTCGGGACTTGAGCAGAACGTTGGGCCTTCAGCAGAACGTCGGGCCTGAACATCATGCCTGAATGTTGGGCCTTGAGATGGTGGTGCGGCGAAACTCCGGCGGTGGTCCGGCTAGGTTCCGACGGTGGTCCGGCGAGGCTCTGGCGGTGGTCCGGCGAGAGCAGTCAGGACGATCCGTCTGTACGAAATCTGTCCAGAGAGCAAGTCGCCCGGGACGAATTTGGATTTCGTCTGTACGAAATTTGTCCAGAGAACCCATCGTACCAGGACGAAATTTGGATCGTCCAGGACGATCAGTGTTAATAAATATCGGATTTGAGATATTTTGGATTCATTTTGGAGAGAGAGGAAAGGCAGGAGAGAGAAAGAGAAGGAAAGAGAAGAGGAAGCTTGGTTTTGGAGGCCACGGAGCGCTTTTCGTCCGACGACGCTGTTAGAAGATTTGTTTGTCTCGCTGTAAGGACTCCGAACCCTATTTCTGTTTTCGAAGATTTTGTATTTTGATCGAGTTGTGCACTGTTTTGTATTTTTGTAGTCGAACTTTTGACCTGATTTTGTATTGACACAACTTTCACCGCACAACTTTTAGTATGTTATAGATATGAATATTGTACACGATTTGAGTATTTTCTACGATGATTTTATCGGTCGGAATTGATTCTACGCGATTTTAATTGAATAGAAAATTATCAGGACTTGATTTGATTTGGATTCTATAGATTGATAGTCTTGCATTGATGCCGTGGTTATTCTGTTGTAATTTGGAGAAATTCAGAATTTGTCTTTTTGCAGGATTTTTGTGTAAATTTGACCGACTGTCGTTACTCTGCCCGATTTTCGTACGATTTCTGATTTTCCCGAAATTGATAGATTAGATTGATATGCTTATGATTATTGATATAATTGCTATAGATTGCTTTAATATTGATTATTAAACTGATTATTGATTGATTATTGATACTGGAACACACGTATAACCTGGTTGAACATTGGTTGAAGATTGATATTGACCTGTACAGGATGGTGGGCCGACGGGCTTTCCTTTAAACCATTGATCATTGATATAACGATTGGGAGTCATAAGGAGATTATATGCCGACGGGCGGCCGACGGGCGAAAAGAGTGACGACTCTTATTGATAGAACCAATGTATGGATATCTACAACAGCAATATGGATTCTACAACAGCAACATAGCCAGTTGATTGTACTTGTCCAGTATATAGTATTGAATTGCATGTTTACTGTATTGATTGACCCGCGATTGGTAGGACCCGCCATCGGCCGTATTTCGTTCTCCAAAGCCTTCCCGCACGGTTAAAGGACTAATCTACCCTCAGGCATAATTGATGTGCCGTCAAAGCTTGATTGCTTTATTATTACTTGTAGACTAATGATTCCCCTAAACCGAAGTCATCAAGCTAACCTAATACTGTAAAGT